ATATGGGATTTAAAATTGTCAGGCCCAGATATAGATTATTTGTGGCATAAGTATGTTTATTATTTTCAAGTAATTTTCTTTTCATATATTAACTATGTACATATTATAAATAAAAAAACAGGAATGTAATGCAAAGCACAGGATTTGACAAATCAATCAATAATGAAGAAGAAATTGAATATCCTCCACATGTTTATGACTTAATTGCTAAAAGCAAACCTCATTATGAATACTTGTTTCAACATAGAATTAAGATTTAGTACAATCTTATATGATGGGTGGTTGTTTTTATGAAGAAAAATTCCAAAACTTAGATGCGCGTTTGGCATTATTTAGATGTTAATTCTGCATTAGGATAGCTTTTCATCTTTAATTAAAAGTTTATATTAAATAAAATATTATACAGTTAGACCTTGTTATAGTCACTCTTGATATAGTCACAACTTTATTATAATCACACCATTTTTTAATTCAAGCTATTATAAAACATATAAAATTTAATCTTTATATAGTTAACTTTTTATAATCAAATTTTTGTTTTCCAACCTGGTGATTATATTGAGGTTTGACTGTAATTGTTATTGTTTCTTAAAAAAATTATACTGTGATTTTTTGTAATAAATCATTGTGTATATACTTTAGTATAATCTTTGTCAGCTGGCAGGTAAATTATCGATTGTGTATTGTGTTGTAAATATTGACCTGGAGAAGAATATCATGAATGTTAGCATAATTACTGATACTAAAGTTGATACTGTTTGATCAATTGTTGTACGATTTTTTGTATTAGGAATTTGCTTTGTATTGCCATGTATTCATTCAACTAATCATTTATTTAATAAATTCTTCTTAATTTGAATAAGATAATCTTTTCAAACTTTAATTGATACAATGTGTATTTTTACACAGTTTATAGGTGTGAACAGACGTGGATCACCATATCACAGGAAATTCATAAAATTTCCCATATTTCCTAAAATTTCAAAGCCAGCTCTAATCGGATCTTCAAATTTTACTAATTAGAATTTCCTGATTCTTCGATTTCCCACATAGGGAATCGTTGTTCACACCTTTTTGAAAACAGCTGTAAAAAGGTGTGAACAGATACAGACTATATCTTAGGAAATTTATGAAATTTTCTAGATTTCTAAAAACTTCAAAGCTAGCTCTAATCGGATCTTAAATTTTTACTAATTAGAATTTTCCGATTCTTTGATTTCCCATATAAACATATGAAAATCGTTGTTCACACCTATAATTGATAATTAGATTTCTGCTCAGTATTTCATTTAGTTCTGTATTTTAACTTTTATATTCAAATGCCATGAGCTGACCTATTAGAACTAAATCGAGTTCTTTTACCTAAGTCACAAAATTGCATAGTATAAATAATATTTCAAATTTAGAATTTAAAATTCTGATTTAAATTTGGGATTTGAAATTTGACTAAGGTTGGAGTTTTGTTATTCCAAATTAATTTGTCTTGTTTGGCTATATGGAATTTTTAAATATAGCTGAACAATCCTATTTGTCCTAGTATGTTTAGGACCAAATCTAAAATCCCAAATATTTGAACGGCAACTATATGTAATAAGCGTAATTGTATTTAAAAAAAAAAGTATGAGATCTAGGTCAAAATCGCAAAAGCGAAGTTCTAAAACTTATAGCATGACGTCGGAGTTTCGACATCCAAACTCCGATATTAGATTACCTTGTAAGCATTATTACTACCAATATCGGAGTTTGAATATTGCAACTCCGAGATTACATAATGTGACAATTAGGTTTTAGAACTTTGCCTTGAAATTGACAAGGCATAGGGTCGATTTTCCATTCAACTAATTTTCAAAGGTCAGTATTGTTTCGGGAGAGCTTCCACAATATCGGCACAATTTAGCTCCAATAGTTAACTTGTATAATATATAAGTTAAATTTGTAATAATAAAATAAATAATACGGTCGATTATAGTAATAATTTATACACGTGTGATTACGCAAGAGTTCCGAGATCGAGGTACTTAATTATATCTATCGATAATCAAGTATATTGATCACACTGTACTTATAACACAACTGAGATGATTAATTAATAATATCGGGGTTATAATTATGAATCGTTACAACAATAGCTAATATACTTCAAAGACAACAAGTGAAATCCCAATTCTAATTATATAATCAAGCAATCGAAGTCTGAAGCTTTATTTGAAGAGCGGAAAAGCAGCTCTTTTATACTTGAGGGATACATTAGCAGATTATTTGGCCTATTCACATGTTTTGGGCCTTACCTTTTATTTGGCTTAGCTATACTAGTTTACCCTTTATGGACTTTAGTCTAAGCGTTTGGGCCCCAGCAGTACCTTTTACTACATAACAGTTTCCCTCTGCTAAGCTTTAACTCATGCCTAGTCTCTACGCCTTAACCTTCTTTCAGACCCTTATCTAAGCTTTAGTACAGGTCTAGTCATTAGGCCTTAAGATAATAAACAAATAGGAAGAAATCTATAGATTTAAAAATAAATAAAAATGACGAATCGAACAAATATTATGATCTTTCGATATTCTTAAACCTTTGCCACCTGCTTAGCCTCACAATATTCTTGTGACTCAAGGCTTATACATAATACACATTTCTGTTACTACTTGTATACTGTGGGTCTGCAAATGCCCATGCCCGGGTTCAGACCCTATTGTATACTACCCAGTCACAGTTTTAGTCGTAGAACAAAAAAGCACATTTATGGGATCGTGTATATTTTAGAGTTAGAAAATGTGTTTAGTAGTAAAAATTGCACGAGGGTTTTTTTATTAGAACCTCAAAAACAGTTTACTAATAAAAGTTTGAGATAAATGTGATTTTTGCAAAGTGAACGTTTGTTTTGAATTTTTTTACGTTATACCATGTTTTTAATTGCCAATTGATCTCGAAAATCACGTTAACTGAAAACGCCCTGGTGCTGTTCTTTGCCTTTATGATTTGACCTAGATCTGATACTGGTTACAAGAACCAGTGGCTACTTCTAAATAAATATTTTTATTTAACAATTTATATTACAAATAACTAGCAAAAATATGAAACACAATATATTTTATTATTTACTTTTATAATGCATTCAAATATATATATATATATATTTAAAAAAATTCAACAATCTAATTTTAAAATAAAATAAGTTTACTTAGCTACAATATTATAAATTTATTATAAATTAAATATACTGTATATAATATTTGCCAGTAGGAATTTCAACAAAATCAGCAGATTTACTTGATTAAACTTCTAATGTAATTATGCAAAGAGATTTGCTATTTATCACCACTGGTGATATCAACAGTATTATTATATCTCAAAAACAAGACTAAGAAACAGGGGTTAAATGTAATAAGTAAAAATGTTTAGAACCCAAAAACTTCGTGTAACCTAAAATCGGGGCTATTATATCTAATCACTGTCTTGATCTCAAACTGCACCTAACCCTAAAACTTATAACACCACCAGTGATTTGTAGTAATTTTATTATGCAAAATATAATTATGCAACAAAATAATTAGTTTTAAATAAAGAAATAATTTAATACAGTATTTAAAATAATATCTTTAGGACGTTTACACTGGTGTTTAACACCACATTATTCCACGTTTCTATATGTTCGCATGACGGGGTTTTACGACTTATAATCACTACTTTAATCAGTAAAAAAACCAAATTTCTGATGATACAAGTTATTTCCCCGGAATTGCTTGTTATTTCCCCGGAATTCTTTGTTATTTCCCCGGGTGCACTTTAGACTCTTGTCAAAATTCTTTTAGACGAGATAAAAATATATTTATCGCTAGTTTTTAGAATTTTCTTATGAGGAGTAAAATTCTGCTTAGGACGCTAGTTTTTAAAATTATTTTGAATATCATAATTATTAATCTTAATAAAATTTATTTAATATAAATCTAATATTAATATCAACGCTAATATTTTTACACTGATTAATGTAAATTTGAGAATTTGAACTATTATTCGAAGATTTATCTTCTTCTTCACTATCAATTGCTTGAAATCGGGACTTGCTTGTTTTGAAGTAATAGAATTTGAAGATTTATCTTCGCTATCATTTGCTTAGTTTGACGAAATAGGATATGGGATCTTAAAAGGTTCGGACCAGTCATGTGGAGCTTTTGAACCTTGCGTTTCATTCTTTATGAGAGTTCAATTTTATATTTGATAGCAATGAAGCTAACAAAACTCTTTCTGAATAAAATTTTTAATTCATTTAATAAAAAAAATTCTTACTTTTTTCTTTTGCCGGATTTTTCCCTTTTTCATTTTTATTATCATAATTGTTGCTTTCTTCTCTATCATTATAATTTTTATTGTGGCTTTTTTCATTATCGTCAATTTATTGTGGTTTTTTTTTTTATTATTGTGATCTTCTTTATATATAGAATGTTAAAGTATATAATTATATGGATTAATTTTTAAAACGAATAATAAAAAAAAGGACTAACAAAAAAAAAAAAAAGACTAACAGAAAAAAAAAAAAAGGACTAACAAAAAAAAAAGGACTAATGAAAAAAAAAGAAATAATGAAAAAAAAGGCACTAACGAAAAAAAAAGTTTATTCATATAAGTCGTAAAACATCATCATGCGTCATATAAAACGAAGAATAACACTCTTATTTCCCGCTACGGGGGAATAAACCGGTAAATCCCATCAGCCGGGGGGGCCCTTCGGGCCCCCGCCGCTGCGGGAAATAAATAGTACTTATATTTTGACCAATAAAACCCTAACCTTAATCACAAAAAAATTGGGTAATATAATTATTTTTAGATTTTGTCATACTGGACTTTAAGAAGTTCATCTGATATTTTTTGTGTGTTGATAATTTTGCTAGTATACATATAATTAGAATGTTTTGGCGAAATAATTGGCAATTTCTTTGCTATTTTATCTGCATCTAAGAATTGCTTTTTAATTTCATTTGCATCATCTGAACTTTTTATGCATTTATTCCATTCTTCAAGTTTATTCCAAACAATCTCAGCATCGGGCCGCTTTTCTGGATCAGAATCCATGCATTGGTCAGCCAATTCAATATAGAAATCTGGAGTTCCAGGACCAAATTCTGGCCGTAATCCTTTACAAATTTTTATTGCAAGTTTATAATCGAAATCATGGCCATCAAAAGGTCTTTGACCAGTTGACATCTCAGACATAATAACTCCAAAACCATAAATATCGGCAGATTTTGTAAACTTTTGACCCAATAAAACTTCTGGCGCTACATAAGGCATAACACCAAAAGTCTCACTTTTTGAATCATTTTCAGCTTCCTTTTTGGACAATCCTAGATCTGAGATGTAAGATTGCATATTTTTACTAATGCCTTCATCTTGTAAAATATTACCACTGTGAAAGTCAGCATGAATATATCCTGCTCTGTGAATTTGATATAAATCTTTAGAAATATCAACAAGTAATTTTAATTTAGTTTGCCAGCTAATATTATAAAATTTTTTTCTTAAAAACCTATGAAGACTTCCGTTATCGGCATATTGAAATACCATAAAATACTCATTTGTTTCTGTATTTAAAGTCAATCCATAAATTTTAAGTCTACTACCAAATAAGCCACATGTTACATGATCCTCAAACTTTTAATTGAATAAATAAATCAAATGAATTGAATAAATTAGTTTATTATTTATTTAATAAATTGTTGAATAAGCAGGTTTAACTTACTTCCTTTAAAGAGCAAGACAAGGTCTTGAGTGCAACGGTGCTGGATTCTTCACGTGACCTAACATAATTAAAATCATCGCCGTCGATTTTTCGTATACCATTCAACCAGGTTGCTTTATATATTGATCCAAATCCTCCTTCGCCAATTTTTGTAATATTATCTAGCTTATCATATGAAATCCATTCAATCGCATCCTCATATGCCAAGGTTCTAATTTGAAATATTTTTATGCAATTGTCAATAGCCTTATTTTTACTTGTCCATTTTGTTGTTATGTCAGGGTCGCATGATAGACACCATGCTGGTTGCGTGTTATCTTCATTACAATATACACATTTTCCATATTTAGATTCGCTTTATAATCATAATATATAATATTTTATTTCATCTGCAAATGCTATTTTAAACTTTATATCAAATGTAAATAATTTTTTACTTACCGACTAAATTAATTAATGATAATGAAATGATTTGAAGGGTATTACGTAATGGTAAATAAGTATTTATGCTCTTGATTTGTGAACTTGCTTTGCTGTTTTTAATTCCAATGATTAACAAATGTTCATTATACTCACTCACTGAATGTATGATTAATGCGAATGAAATGATTTGAAGGGTATTACATAATAGTAATGGTAAATAAGTACTTATGTTCTTGACTTGTGAACTTGTTTTGCTGTTTTTAATTCCAATGATTAATAAATGTACTTTATACTCACTCACTGAATGATTAATGTGAATGAATGATTTGAAGGTATTACGTAATGGTAATGGTAAATAAGTATTTATGCTCTTGATTTGTGAATTTGCTTTGCTGTATTAATTCCAATGATTAATAAATGTTCATTATACTCACGGACTGAATGAATGATTAAATGATTTGAAGGGTATTACATAATGGTAAATAAGTATTTATGTTCTTAATTTGTGAACTTGCTTTGCTGTTTTTAATTTCAATGATTAATAAATGTACTTTATACTCACCCACTGGATGAATTATTAATGCGAATAAAATGATTTGAAGGGTATTACATAATGGTAAATAAATATTATGTTCATGAGCTTGCTTTACTGTTTTTAATTCCAATGATTAATATACCCACCCACTGAATGAATGATTAATGAGAATGAAATAATTTTATGTAATGGTAAATAAGTGTTAATTACTTGATTTATGAACTTGCTTTGCTGTTTTTAATTCCAATGATTAATAAATGTTCTTTATACTCACATACTGAATGAATGATTAATGCGAATGAAATAATTTTGATAATAGTAAATAAGTATTTATGTTCTTGATTTGTGAACTTGCTTTGCTACTTTTAATTCCAATGATTAATAAGTGTTCTTTATACTCACTCACTGAATGAATAATTAATGTGAATGAAAAAATTTGAAGGGTATTACATAATAGTAATGATAAATAAGTATTTACGTCTTGATTTATGCTGTTTTTAATTCCAATAATTAGTAAATGTTCTTTATACTCACATACTGAATGAATGATTAATGTGATTGAAATGATTTCAAGGGTATTATGTAATGGCAATGGTAAATAATTATTTATTTTTTTTGATTTGTTAGTTTGTTTTGCCAAAATTCCAATGATTAATAAATGTTCTTTATACTCACTAGCTAAATTAATATGAAATGAAATGATTTGAAGGGTATTACGTAATGGTAAATAAGTATTTATCTTTTTAATTTGTGAACCTGTTTTTAATTCCAATAATTAATAAATATTTTTTTATACTCACCGACTAAATTAATGTGAATCAAATGATTTGTAGGGTATTACGTAATGGCAAATAAATAATATGTTCTTGATAATTTGTTTTTAATTCCAATGGATAAATGCTCTTCATACTCACTCACTGAATTAAATGATTAAAATAATTTGAAGGGTATTACGTAATGATAAATAAGTATTTATATCCTTGATTTGTGAGCTTGCTTTGCTGTTTCTAATTCTGATGATTAATAAATGTTCTTTATACTCACTAACTAAATTAATGCGAATGAAATGATTTGAAGGGCGTTACGTAATGGTAAATAAGTATTATGTTCTTGACTTGTGAACTTGTTTCTAATTCTAAGATTAATAAATGTTTTTTATACTCACACACTGAATGAAATGATTAATGAAATGAAGTAATTTGAAGGTATTACATAATGGTAAATAAGTAATATGTTCTTGATTTATTAACTTTGCTGTTTTTAATTCCAGTGATTAATAAACGTTCTTTATACTCACTCACTGAATAAATGATTAATGCGAATGAAATGATTTGAAGAGTATTACATAATAGTAATGGTAAATAAGTATTTATGTACTTGATTTGTGAACTTGTTTTTAATTTCAATGATAATAAATGTTCTTTATACTCACTCACTGAATGAATGATAATGCGAATGAAATAATTTTATGTAATGGTAAATAAGTGTTAATTACTTGATTTATGAACTCTCTTTGCTTTTTTTAATTCCAATGATTAATAAATGCTCTTCATACTCACCCACTGAATTAAATGATTAATGCGAATGAAATGATTTGAAGGGTATTACGTAATGATATATAATAAGTATTTATATCCTTGATTTGTGAACTTGCTTTTGCTGTTTCTAATTCCAATAACTAATAAATGTTCTTTATACTCACTAACTAAATTAATGTGAATGAAATGATTTGAAGGGTATTATGTAATGGTAAATAAATATTATGTTCTTGATTTGTAAACTGATTTTAATTCCATAAATATTCTTTATTATACGCACGCACTGAATGAATGATTAATGCGAATGAAATGGTTTGAAGGGTATTATGTGATGGTAAATAGAAATTTATTTGTGAACTTTGCTTTGCTGTTTTTAATTCCAATGATTAGTAAATGTTCTTTATACTCACAGACTAAATTAATGCGGATGAAATGAATTTATGCTTTTGATTTGTGAACTTGTTTTTAGTTCCAACGATTAATAAATGTTCTTTATACTCACACACTGAATGAATTATAGCATTCCACAAATTTATTATAATTTTCTTCCACGCCAATTCCGTAATAGTAACAAATAGCGGTTTTCCAAATTCCTATTAAGTTACCCGCCTTAGCTGACTTCAGATAATTTTCAAACGCCTTTTTTTTATCGACTTCAATCCCAATTCCTAAATAATAACAATATCCAACTTTATAAATTCCGTTAGAATTATTCAGGTCTGCAGATTTTTGATAATAAATGAATGCTTTTTTTTCATCCTTTTTAACTCCAATTCCAAATTCGTAACAATAACCAAGCCAATAAATTCCGTCTGGTTCGTTTGTATCTGCTAATTTTTGATATTCATTGAAATTTAGTTGTTTAAAATCGTCGATAATTTGTTCCATTTTAATTTATGAAAAAAAAACAAAAATCGGTAATAATGCAACCAGGCAATTTTATTTACTTTCAGTGTTGGTTCACAATATTCTAAAATTGTACCGGTTCAACATTAAAAAAGTATTAAATGAACTAAAAGAGAAATTAGATGCACAAAGATGGTAACCAATTAGAATCAAATAATTTAACTCGGAAAATTTTGGAAAAAAATTTTTCCAAAATTTTCTAAATTTTTGCACTTAATCCCACGATTTCCAAATTTTTGCGTTTAACCCAAATTTTTGCCGATTTGGGTTACACGTGATCTAACCAATAAAAATAGGTCTTTATACATGTGATCCGATTAATAAAAAAATGTTCGATCTTTCGGTAGCTTGTTCTTTGAACGCACTCTTAGGCATTTTATCGAATTCTAGTTAGATAATTGTTGTGAAGAAATTCAAAAACTAGTGACTGCGTCAGAGTTTTTTTATAGTAAAACTTTGAAGATATCTCGAAATACTTTTTTTTTTGATTCTACGAAATCGGCGTATGAATAAAATATTTGTAACCATTTTTTCCATATTTTTAACAGATAAGCAATTTAATATTTTAAAAAATATGCCCAAGAAAAAAATTATCGCGTTAAGTTGTTGCCATATTGTTAATATTCTTTAAGAATTGTAAAATTTCGCGATTCCCCGTTTTTTGGGGATGTCTGAATAGAGTATGTTGCACGATATCGTCTATCGTTACAGTTTAACTCCTGAACTCAAAAATACCGATAATCCAGTTTTTCTATACATTGGTTGCTTTTGCTTTAGATTTGAAATTTAAAATAAAATTTGAAATTCATGTTATGTCTTCATTTCTATGTAGTTTTAGCCAATGTTTTAACATTTGCTTTCATAATAGCCTTTGATCCGCAATACCTAAAAGTTTTTTTTGCTATTAACATATTTGCATTTTTAATGACATTTGAACAGTTTAAAGTTCCTTTAAAGTTTATATATTCTTGCTTCTTAAAACCAATTGGAAGCCATAATGACCAACGAGGTCGCTTAGATTCATTTTATGAAGACCAAGCAGAAGGTTCGAATGCGTAAAGAGTCGCACTTGTACTGTCACCCGAAACGAGAGATATAAACATCTTATTAATAAAATTTATGAATTTTGAGTTTTTAAGAAACTAGGATATGATTTAATTTTCGGGTAACAGTATCATAGTGTAAAAGAGCCGTATTTTATTTAATATTCTCAATGTAAAAATATTTGCCATTAGTTTATGATGCTACGCGTGGTCGTCTGTTGCGTGGAAGACTTACAATGCTAAAACTTACAGCTGATCAGCTTAGGAAACAAATAATAAATACATCACGTAAACCAATTTGGGTTGATATCGGTGGTGGAACTGGTAAATATTATTGTCAATTATTGTTCAGTTATATACTATTGAAGTTTTTTTTTTTTTTATCTATAGGTTGGAATATTGAAAAGATGAATGAGTTCTTCCCAATAGAACAATTTGAAAAAGTCTATCTTATAGATTTATGTACACCATTATGTAAAATAGCAGAATCTAGATTTAACGCTAAAGGATGGAATAATGTTTATGTAGTTTGTGATGATGCAGCTTCGTTTAAGCTGCCAAAAATGGAAGACGATATTGGAAAAATTGATTTGGTGACAATGTCTTATTCTTGTAAGTTTATTGTCGCATTTTTACTAGATCAAATTGAACTCTAGTGTTATTTTTGTGTCAACGTTGATATTTTAATCATCATTTACATACACTTTTACAGTATCAATGATTGATAATTTCTATACAGTAATCGATCGTATTAAAACACTACTATGTCCAGATGGCTTATTCGGGATAGCAGATTTCTACGTATCGGGCCGTGTTATTAGTAGTGATATACGAGTTAAACAAGGATATTATTGTAACTGGTTCACAAGATGGTTTTGGCAAATTTGGTTCGAATTCGATCATATCAACTTACACCCATCTCGTCGTAACTACGTTGAGCACCAGTTTAATGCAATAAAGTGTTTTAATGGACGAAACCACTTCCTAATTCCTTATTTAGTCCAGATCCCTTATTATATTTGGCTAGGTACTATCAAAACTTCGACTTCTAATTCATTCGAAGTTTCAGAACATCTAGATTAGTCGGATAAAAAAAAAAAAAAAAAAAACTATTATATTTTAAATTCTTGTATTCTTACCATTTTGATTAATAAATTGTAATACTATTCATACTTGACCAAAAATAAATCTAGGGTAGAGTTAATAAGCACCCTTCCCTTAACGGACTTGTAAATGCCAGAAGCTATCAATTTACTCATGTTTTATGTTTTTTTTTTATATGAATTCTAATTCTACCATCCGCATTTATACAAAATGTGAAATTTTTGTCATGCTCTTGAGTGTAAAGCTTACTAGATTCTATGTCCCCCCATTGTAATTAAGTTTATTAATAAATACATCAAGTTTTTCACAATAACTTAGTAAATTATCTAATGGTGGCAAATCATAACCTTTATTTTCAAAATCAACTGATACGTCTGCTAGCACTGGTTCAAAACCTACTTTTTAAGAATAGACCAAGAACTGACATTTTTAGGTCTAACTAGTTGCCTTTCTTGATACATATATTTTATAATATTTGCAGCAAATAATAAACATTCATAGTTTTGTATGTCATGCTGCTGCATTTCTCAAACAAACCATCTATTGAAAAGTATTATGGAAATTTCATAAATTATAAAAATGTCACCTATTTTTCGTATTGTCAGTCCTATCCTAAATTGTTCACATTTCTATTAATTTTTATCATTTCAAATTAAAATAATTGAACCTGATTTAGTATCTCCTACATAAGAATACAATAAATATTTCTACGCACAAATTAAAGAACAATATAACTCTTATTTTTTTGATTAATTTCAATTAAAAAAACAATTCATTTTATATTAATAAATGTTATAGTTTATTTTCAAATCTGGTTAAAACAGTTTAACATATTAAATAATTAATGAAAACAAAGAAATTTGTTTTTTTATACTCGTCAATGTAATGTTTATTCATAATTATTTTCAAACAATTATACATGGGGAAATAAAACCTTTTTCATGTTTATAAAGAGCCTTATATTAAAAAATTTGCTAATAACTTTTATTATTAATAATAAATCAATTTGCTATTTGTTGGTAACCTTCTTAAAATGTTCACTTTTTTTCCAAATTCATTATAACTAAGATCTAAAAAAATTAAAAAATTATTTTTGCAAAAACCATTTGCTAATACTTTTCCACCCTTAGATCCAAGCTGATTATTGGGTGAATTCTGTATTCCAATTCATGAATTCTATCTTCCAATTCACGAATTCTTATAATACTTTGAAAATATTTAATCAATACTTGGGATATCATTATCTACTTACAGTATATAATATTTAATTAGCAAAAATAATAAAAGTATAATTTATAATATTTTTAAGCATAAAAAAAATTACTTGTTCATGAAGGTCTACAAATTCTTGAATAAGCTCTTCATTTCTTATTCCCAAAAGACTAAGCCTTATCTTCGATTTCTTCTTGTAGCATTAAAGCCTATTCCTGACTTGGTAATTTCGTTAAATTTACTGATGAACTTCACGTTTAATTCTGTCTATGAAAAATATTTATGAAAAATCACATGAAATTTTATTTTGTTTGCGTGATGCTCTAAAAAAAAGATAAAGAAGCTATTGTAGTTGACACTAAGAGACTATCTCTTGCTTTGGAATTGTGTGAAATCTCTATTTAAACTTAGAACATCACATGAAATTTTACTTTTGTTAAGGGGAAACTCAATAGATAAACTGCACAAGGGGCAAGTCAATAGACTTGATACAATAATTTTGATGGAATCTCATGTAAGGTAAACTTTTCAGTTCAGAATCGCGTGTTTCACTAATTATAATATGGATTTATATAATCATGTAGCTATATCTTTCTGATAGAAATTATATGAAATTTTATTTCGTTTTGCTCAAAAATTCGAACCGGTCATGGCAATTGACTAAAGAATATCTTTTGAATAACTGGACGTAAAAACTTGCTTCGTGTTTTCTCGATTGTAATATTATATGCTATTAATTTATTAATATATAGCAGAACAGATTGCCATTTAATTTCCAAAATTTTAACTTTTCTAACTTGTAAAAATGACTAAACAAGATATACGAACTCATTTACTCAAAGTTTACATGACTTTCGGAATTCTTACTTTCGGAGTTTATACTTGTTTGTATATTATTAGGGTATGTTATTTTTAAATCATCATGTTAACGTATATAGACGCACGCTAATAGTACAATAAGACCTTCCTGTATGTATTTTTTTAAAATGTCAATCCGCAACCATATAAACGAAATAAACGAAGCATGGTTATGTACTGTAAAATAGAATAACTGATAATTGTTATTTTGAAGGGCCAATTTCTATGCTCGTTAAGTGCACGCTCTTTAAGGGCTAGTGTAAATTTTCTTTTTTTTTTGGTATTATAGTCCCAATGGGTGCACTTAGGAAGGTTTTACTGTATATTGCATATTGATGTTTTAAATTTGCCATTATTGTTATATATCTGAATTCATATTTTTTTTTTGTTTTTAGGTATTAGTATTTGTCCTAGAATTTGGATCTTGGATCGAAAATGTCTTTTCGTACTTGGCAATCTGCAATATGAACTTCATAATTTTCTGTTCTTTTGCAGTACTGCAATTATTAATTGATGAAAGATTTGAGGCTCTTGTATTTATTTTAAGATTGCAATTTCGGTGCTGAAATGGTATTTATTCGTTAACAGTGGTTGGTTTTCTTATTTAAATTTCATTGGAATGTTTTAGTTAGGGGGTATATATAATCAATTTTTTGTCACGATATTTAAAATTTTTGACTTGAGTATAGTATTAATTATTTTTATGCCTTACAGTCTTATTTTATGTTGAATCTAAAAGTCGTCACGGTACACAATCAGCAAATTCTCATGATTTTATAGGTTTTTTGTTTGGTTTTATTGTCTTATGTGATATCAACGGATGGTTTTATGATTTTAATTTCATAGAATGGTTTTGTTTATTAAGTATATATAATTCGTTTCTCATTCATATTTAATTCTTGACTTGAGTATAGTATTAACTATTTTTCATTTTGTAGTCTTTCTTGTAAGTGAACTTAATGCTCATCGTTTTGCAAAATCGGGATTTATAGAACATGCATTTTATTTGTTCAATTTTTTTGCATGTTATCATCTATTATTAGTGTCAGAATTATTTTTCTTTGATTTATTTTAATTCTGTCTTTTAACATCATTTCCTTATACCGCATTGATGTTTATTTTGCTGGTTGTTGAGTAAGGATAATGCTGAACTTCATTTTAAATTTGTCTTATAAAAATAAAGTTATTATTCTATTGATACATATATTTTAAACTAATAAACTTGGTCAATCATCAAGATGCAATTTACCAATCATGAAAAGATCATAAAGATCACGAATTACGTTATTTGTGTTACGTTAGTAAATGATAATCATTTTCTATTTGATAGGACCTTACCTACGTTTTTTGTATTATAAAGGTAAACTTGCCAAGATCGTGCGAACAAAATATTACAATACCTTATATAGATTTGATTAATTTGTATATCATAAAACCCAAAGGGATATGCTATTACAAGACATGAGTGATTGTCAGTAGCATCCTGACAAATTTTATATTTATATCGAATCTTTGAGGCGGCATCCACAATTTACGTTAAACCAATATTGTCATAGGGATCTTAAAGATAATACAAACATAATACTATATGGCATTCCCTATTTTTATACAATATACAAAATGATAATAGTTTAACGTAAATTGTAGATGCCGCCTGACCAAAAAATGCACTATTCGACTCAAGTCGATGACTTAGGATGTTAAGTCGATAATTATCTTAACTACCAAGTTGGTCGACCTTAATACAGTACGTACGTAAAGTATATGACAATAGCGCGCTCATGTAATCGGCTAAGAGTCGACTTGAATCAACTTATGTGTAAAAGTCGAGTCAAAGTCGGTCGAGTCGAGTTGTTAGCATCTCTTGTATAATCGTGCAATTAGGTAATTGTATAGGTGTGCAGTGATCTAAAAGTTTGATCAAAGATAGATTACCCAGGGTGGAGCCCAAAGTTTGAGCCGATAATTGCCGCAGTAACCGGAGCACCTTGTTATTTTTTTTCTATTTAAAATTTTAATATTGCTTGAACCTTATGATAGGGTATCATAATATCCTACTATGCCAAGGCTCGAGCAATATTAAAATATCTTCTATTTTAAGTTGTTCATATTCTATTAAATAAAAAGCTTGAAAATAATGAATTTCCATAATAGAAATATATCAAAAAAAGAAAGCAAAATCAAGAGTAAAGGAATGAACATAATTAGAGCAAAACTTTAAGAATATATTTAAATATATATCTATATATGAGTAGTGTTGTACGTTTGTGTGCCTGTATTCATTTAGCCTATAAGTTATTATGAAAAATATAATATGAATAACTTCGCAGGTTATTAAAGTTTACAAAGTCAAATTGTATCACACTTAATTACGTGTTTACTACATGCCTTTATTGTTGAAATTATGAAACACAGTTTGGTTTCAAATAGTTTGGGTAACATAGGTGCAATAGTTGTCTAAGTCATCTCAACAGCTTACCATTTGATTTCCTAATTTAAAAGTGGGATATCAAGTCATGATCAAAGTTAGAGAATTTCACAACACAATCTATATTAATTATGCACAAAATACTAATAGCTTAGTATTTATCATCTTAAGTAAAACGAAATCAGTAAATTAGATATTTTAAATATTAATCTATTAAACTTTCAGTATTATCATTAACTGCAAGTTTTTTTTTAATGCCGAAAATACATCCTATTTATTAATTACGGTCAGATGCTATTTTCCCAGTGTTTAAAATTAAACTTTTTCCCATATAATGCTAACTATTAGAGAAGCGCAGTAGATAAAATTCATATCTGCTGTGAAAATCTATTTACTTAGCACTAGTTTTTTAAGCATATAAGTTACATTATAATCACAAAAGTAATTTGACAATGCTCAATGTTTATTTGGTAACACTACATTTAAATAAGTTCACTTTTAACAACACATACGATAATAGATTCGTCTTAATTTGTTTTTTAAAATCAATTTACTTATTGCTATAATAAAATGGAAGTCGAAGAAAATCAATCCAATCTATATATTTATAATCATCAAATTTACTTAGAAAATCAAGGAAAATTTACACAGAAACTCACAGACTATAAGAATAAGTTTAAAAAATATCGACAATATTGCCACAATGAACTATTTTTACAGTTTTTAGATGAATTGCAACAATTCTTATTAGAACAACAAAATTTATTACAAGAACAGCCGCCTTTGCTGCAACAGGAACAACAACCTTTACAACAAGAACAACAAAATTTATTACAAGAACAACAACCTTTACAACGACAAGAACAGCTTTTACCACAAGGTCAACAATATTTAGATTAGGACCAACTACTTACAAAACAAATACAACAACTACAACAACAATTGCAACAACAATTACAATATCCTTTAAAATGGCAGAAAGATCTTTTGCAAAGGCAAGAAAAGTCCTTACAAAACATCCGGCAGCCGTTAATACAGCTACATAATGTCTTAATTTATCAAAAAACTACGCAACTACAACAAAATCTCATAGAACTCTTATCAACTTTTGATAAAATCCTATCAGACAAACAACAATTCATAAGCGAACAACAGCAGTTTATACGAGTGAAGCAAAATTCCGTAAATAAACAAATCAGTAAAGCAAACTGTTTTGACTATGAAAATGGCTATGTAATTATTAGTAAAGACATTTATAATGCATACATTTAAAGATATCAAGATCCTACTTATCCAACATGTGACTACCTAAAAGCTATTCTTGCTCCTAATAATGCAAATAATATTATAGAATCAGGAAATAACGGTTTTGGATGGTCAAATTTTTTGCCTTGGTTAAATTCTAATTAGCATCAAGACCTTCAATTAAAAAATGACAAACTTGAAAGTATAAATCAAAGATTTCGAGCTAACAATCAAAAACTTCAATCTGACTTCAATCTGACTATCAATTTTTTGACACAAATTATCAAAGACTTAAAACAAATTCTCAAAGTGACCGGAATGCTTTGTTGAGAAATCTCAAATTAAAAGATGACTATATCAATGATTTGAAAAAAGCTAATGATGATTTAAGAAATAAAGCTATAAAGTATCAATTGGCCTTGGGTCATGCAACAGGTTCTCACTTAGAAAATCAAGATTCTGATAGTGCCGATCAATTATCAAAGGATATTCATACTTTACATAACCGTCTAGATAAATTTTGTGGTTTAAAAAGAGGAGTCGAAATTAAAGAATCGGAAGTAAAGGAACTTTTAGAGAGATATGATTGCCAGCTAATCGGTGAAATACGAAATAATAAGAATTTGATTTCTGGTTTATTAGAACGGCATGTAATTGAAACCATCATTAATAAAAGTAATAAATATTTTAAAGAGAATAATGAGGATGACGAACAAGACAATGATCAAAGATTGGAGGCTAAAATAGTTAATACAACAAAACAGTTATTGGAGCTAATAAATGTGGTTCCAGAGAATCACACTGGGACTGATGAAGTAAGCAAAGCTACATCAACAAAATTATGACAACAAATTTACAGTGTCCTTGGGAATCGAGGATTTTGCAACATTAAAGGAGATAAGGAACATCAGTTAATTGTAAAATTGCAAACAGAAATTGCGAAGCTAATGAATCATTATTGTACATTTAAAGATCAAAAAAAATTATCGGAAAACGAAGAAATGATAGAAGAGATCGTTAGACAAGTTGTTAATATATTTCTGTTTAGATTAAAAGTACAAGAACCCATTGCCTATTGGAAATTTTTTGAAAACAAGACATGCATCAATACTATTATGACAGAAGCATCTTTAGATAGTAGTGGGCTTGGAAATGTATATGTTGGTGTTTGTTTATTTTCAATAATTGGATCTAATCTTTGTGAAGCTAAAGAAGAAAACAAAGATTTAAAAGTAATATTTCTAGTACAAATTATTCCCATTAATCTATATTAAACGAATAATGGAATTCTTCTCTCTTTTATTGTTATTTTATTGTCATTATTATTTTAAATTAAACTAATTATAAATTATCAATAATGTTTATATATGTATAAAAAATAATAAAACTGGCGATTATGTTTAAACCTGCTATAATTGTGCCATAAATTTGTTGCTTGTTTAAATAAATCGGCTAGGTGCTGGGAAAAGTGACCAAATTGACAATTTTTTCAAAATTAATTTTTAAGCTTTAATTTAAAATTAACTCAGAAACATTTTCCCTTAAAGAAGAAATGCTGTTGTATTAATAAAATTTTACAGTATAATCTTTTAAAATTTGTATTTTTCTATAAGTTAATCTAGATTTTATAATATAAAAATCAAAACTTATTTTTTGTCAATTTGGTCCCTTTTTTCAGCATCTAGCCTAAATAATTGCATTATGAACTTAACAAATCTAGAATTTAAAAGCAAAATTATGTGTTATGTCTTTTAAATGTAGCAAGATGTAAATAGTGAACTTTAAGGAATTTTAGAAGATATATCTCTCACGAGGAATTTCTATAATTTCTTAAATAGATTATGTTTTTTAATTTATTGCCTTTGAAATCGAAAATTCGAATTGTGATTAATCTGTATTACTTTCTTATTACAGTATTATGATTATTTGCACAAATTACGCAATAATATAAATTGCAAACATCTTATATATAATATCTTGAGCAGAATTTTAGCAAAACAAAATAATTAATTCTATAATGCTAACAATTATTATTTGTTTTTTATTTATTATTAATAATGTAAATACATTCGTTCCTCCACCGAGGGCAGAACAAGCTGCTGTACTTGTCGATGAAAAGATATATTTTTGCGGGGGATTAGTGAAACTTTTGTTTGTTCCGACTTTTTTTATCTCGATGTATCAAAATCATTTACAATAAACGATATTGTATTAATACTATGGGTTAACCTTGCTCCGAGTCCATTTAACAAAACTGCCTCAACTTCCTGTATTGACGGGACAAATAATAATCAAATTATATAATTGGTGATAATTTGGGCTAGATGCTAAGAAAAGAGACTAAATTGAAAATTTTTCAATTTTTTTTTTTTGTGCTTAATTAATTTTAAAATCAAGTTAGGAACATTTTTGTTTAAAAAAAAAGTGCTAAAATTTTATGCTAGAGGCAAAATAGTGTAAAAAGCTATTTTGATCGGATAAATATTTCCGATATAAATCTATGTAAATCAATGTAAATCACAAGATCGTTTCAGAATTTATCGGGCAGATTGATAAACCAATCAAAATCGTACAAATGCGGTGATATGTACGTATCACTTAAAGAACCTAATTTTTTTTTGATTACATAGTATCTTTTTCTTCAATTTATTATTCACTAAGAAAGTAAGTATTTTGGCTTTATTTAAGATTAGTAGTGTTTTAGATTAAGTAAATTTTTTATTTAAAATCCAAAAATAACTTTTTTTCTATTATATCGTGAGCAATTTGAGTTGAATACAGCCAGCAATAGGTATGATATGTTTTCTGATGTTCATTACGCTTAATTAGTTTAAGCTTGAGTAGCTTCTAATATTAATATCAGGTATATTCAACATTCAAGAATATATATATATAAATTTTTTTGGTCTAAAATTAATGATAATATGGATGGTTTATGAGAATTGGAATAGTACATCCTTATTATCAAAAATGTGCAAATATGAATGATAGTATGATAATATTTTGCTTAGTCATTATTATTAAAATTAAGAATTCATCATTAATCATCAAAATTCTGCAGAAATAAATAGTCGGGCGAAATATCTGGCTTGGCTATTATTACGAATATGGAATTGGAGATAGAATGCATTCATTGACTGAAATTTGTAATTATGATAATCTGGTCAGAATATTTTGGCTTGGTTATGTTATAAAGCATCAGTTTATTATTGAAAGCTAAGATAGGTAATATGATAAAATATATTGTACATAATTAGAATTAGTAAATTTTTAATTGTTAAGAATATAAATATTATAATCAATTATAAATACCCTAATTTTTATTTGTTTATTCTGAGTGTGCCAAGGCGACTACCAGAAGTACGAGAACATGATAGGACACCACATAATAGAAAATTATTGAATTGTCTAGCTCTTGCATGCAGCTTAATTGTTGTGAAAATTTCATAAAATGAAATATGTAAAAAGCAAATATAGTACTAGTTATTAAGATATGGATATGGCGTCTTTATCATGTGTCTGTACTTTTGCTGGTCACCCTGGCGCACTTGTTCATTCTCGAATTGTATATATCTGCAATACTTCTATTTCTTTATGTATAGTCCTTATTAGTTATCTATACAGCAAAATCTAATGTTTTGTTAATTAGTAAATATGTTCTACGTAACAGTTTTTATCTATTTATGCATGTAGGCGTTTATTACTACGTACAGTACTTCGTAGAGGAATAATCCGATTTAAGCTTATTATATTTTCATAAATAGACTCAAGAGATCATTTTTAATACATATATAGTAATTTTTTATCTGGAACATTAACAATAACAGTGACAATTACTTTTACGTATTGACTTATAATTACTTAAATTGTTATTGCAGTTAGCTGAATTGGTTGTGTTTTGACCTAGCGCCATATATTTTAGGAAGACCCATTGTTAAAAACAATGAAAAATCTTAGTCATGATACTTTGATACATAATCAAGCATTTTATGCATGGTTTGCATGAATGAAATGGCAGTGTAATATACGAGAAATTTAATGTCATCCTTGTCCAATAATTTTCTAAATAGTTGCGGTTAAAACTATACATTTTGTTTAATTCCGTGTTCGATTTTATCAAAAGAAAAAAAAAATTGAATTTGATGCATATATTAGTTTCTTCAATTTTTTCAGAAACACATTCAGAAATATATTCGTTAGCAAAAGAATTTAACCAACTCAAAACATCCTATCAAACAAGTAACAATTATGAATTAGAATTTAAAGAAAAATTAGAGACAGAAGAATCACCTTCCGAAAATGTAGAACTTAGCGATGTACAAGATAATAAAAAGATAAAAGATAATGAAGAAATCCAACAATTTGATAATCAAATTATTATGCCATTACAGATCGAAAATTTTCAAAGAATATTTGCTCAATATCCTATTGAAGAAAATAATGAAGAGCCCGAAGTTAATGAACAATTAACGACTCTTCTAGATCAGCAAGAGAAGGAGGCCTTTTTTTTAAAACTTCGTACATTAGATTGTTGTAAAACCAAAAAATGTTTAACCAAAATTGAT